GTTTGAATCCACGGTTGGAGCTAGCCATCTTGGCCAGTGTTTATTGACATTGGACGATTACCAGATGTGACTTTGAGAAATTGAAGCCTTTGTCAAGGCTCTCCATTCACTACAAAAACAAACGTTTATCCCATTGAAAGGCAAGAGACTACACGATTCTTACAGTATCTATGACGACCAGAGATCTGTGGGTTTGTTTGAACATACCCTCTGGTAAACAAACATAGCTATTAAAAATGGCGATTTATAGTGGATTTACCCAATACCAGTAGTACCGCACAAGGCGGTGGCGGAAGTTTCAAAAATAGGAAACCTATAGGAAAGGTTGGTTGTTGTGAATCCGGAATGGCAGAGCGAAGCCACTGCTGGATCGAAAGATGATTGATGTCTCCTCTCTTTCTCTCTCTTGCTCTGACTATCTACCTACCTACCTACCTACCTTCCTATCTATTTATCTATCTATCTCTCTCTCTCTCTCTCCCTCTCCGTCATCTGTCTAGCTGTCTACCTGCCTATCTGTCTATCTATCTATCTATCTATCTGTCTACCTGTCTATCATGTGGTGCAGTGTCATTGAGTGTAGTGTAATGTAGTGTGGTGTAGTGGAGTCTAGTGGAATTTAGTGTAGTGTAGTGTAGTGTAGTGTAATGTAGTGTGGTGTAGTGGAGTCTAGTGGAATTTAGTGTAGTGTATTAGAACAGTCTTAGCCTCTATAAATTGCTTTTCTGTTGATTTTGACGTGCAGGCAGAACCATTCTAAGAACTAAGGAAGGAACTGAGGAAGGAACTGAGGAAAAAGTCACGGAAATATTTGTATATATTTGTATATTTGGCTTATATGACGGCATGATATATGTAGAATAACAGCCATTCACCTATCATCATCTTTCACCACCACCAGCTTTGAGGATGTACTACACAGTACATGGCTCAAGTTCAGTGGTGTCATGTCTTCGATCACCATGGTTCACATGCAAGAGCTAGGCTTCATCTAAAGATGCCTGCAGAAAACACTACAACTGCTATTTGAAGACATGAGACATCGCTCATTAAGCATTAAGCTAAGCCTTTTCAACTTCGCTCACTTGCCCATCATGAGTGAAGCTACGGATCCTGCTGAGCTGGACTTTACAGTGTGGCCCCATCCAAAGCGAGTCTTGACCAAACCAGACATGGAAACAGACAAGAAGCAGACACCCGGTCAGAGTCTTCCAGAAAGGTGTACAGGGCAAGTTGTGTGAAATCAAAGATTTCAAACTTAGGGGCGGGCTGTTTCTCACTGACTGGCTGATGCTATTTCCATGTGGATGTACTGACTTCGTTTGACTTCATGGTAATATCGGTTCATGCACATCAGTCCTAAGGACAGAAGACCTCCAAGAAGCCGACCATCATGCCCAGTGTTTGGTGTCCAAAGTGTCTCGGTTGCAGCCTTGCAGCCACAAGCCATGACAAGCCACATGAGTACTTGCATTCCGTGAGGTACCTTCTTTCTGGGGGTCATTCATATTTATGCATGTTTTCATGGAACACGGGTGTGAAAGTTCAGGCGCAGACACTTGGATGACTCAGGTACTTGGAGCTCGCGGGATTCAGGAAGGGCGAGCATCAACCTCTATGCTCTCCGTTTCTTGCCAAAATGCTAGTATGGGAGCTGGGTGAAAGGATTGGTAGCGGGGAAGGTGTCTCCGTTCCAGTTTTGGTGCGCTCATCATGGTCCTTATCATACTGGTGTGGTGGCAGTGGCAAAGGCAGTGGCAATCGTGCAATGATCAGATCACTTATCTTTCACTTGTTTTCAATGCCAGCCATGATTTGTGATACCAATGCCAATACCATTTCACATCAAGCATGACCTGAATTCTTTTCCTTCAAGCCTTGGATCATTAAAATCCTTTGTGTGGTAGCCAGCAGTCAGGCTCAAGGGCATGTGCAAAAATGGTCAAAAGAGGACATGAGAAAGAATGACACGGACATGATAAAATGAGAAGGCAAGCCAAGTTTTTTGGCAGTTCAACAAGGCTCAGGTTGACTACATGTGTCTACAAAGTAGGGATCGCATTGCTCACTGTCAAATTTGCTGCTTCCAGTTTTCCCAGTGGTAGCTGCGACCTCTGGAGCTTGGTGCAGACACTTGTTTGAGAAAGGGGCAACGGAAAAGTGAAATAGTTTGTGACAGTGATGGCAGTTTTGATGTTTCATGTATGAATTGTACAAATTGGCACTGAAAACAAGCAGTGGCATCAGCGGCTAGGTTACCAACAACCATGTAAAACGTGTTTCAAATAACGGTGAGCTTCCACAGTGATTTTGCCAGTGTGTCATTTGAGTCATTTGTGCCAGTTGTTTCTAGGGTGGGCAGCTTGCAGGCTGTAGAATTCACACGGTGCCACTACCCGAAGCCAACCACATTGTACCCGTCAGTGATGCAAATTACACGAGGTGGACATGGATATAATGACAGTATATGAGTATATGTATATAATTATATAACATAATATAAATATACATATAATGATATAATATATATATATATATAATCGAAGGAAGTTTAGAAGTCAAACTTCCGACAATATGGACAGTTGAAAAGCAGAGGTGAGAAGAGTCGGAAGAGAAAAGATCAGAAGAAAGAAGATGCAGATGCGCGAAAGGTGTTAGGAATAACTGAAGAGGAAGGAAAGAAGGAGCGAAAGAACGAGGCGGAAATCAGAAAAGGAAAAGGAATAGGAAACGAAAAGGAGAAGGAAACCGGGACAGGAACCATCCGGAACAGGACCTTAGGAGAGGAATGAGGAACTTAGGAAAGCCACTAGGAAGAACTAGGAAATGGAAGGTAGGATGAGGAAAGGAGGAGGAGGAAATAGAAAGGGAGAAGGAAAGGATAGAGGATTGGATAGGAACGGGAAAAGGAAACGGAAGAAGAGGAAAGTCGCGATTCACTGTGTTTTTGGAGGTTGAGATGTCGAAAAAGTGCACGCCGTTGTGGCGCGAAGCACATTTGCAAGTCAACATGTACAAAACACATCCCCCATCGAATTTCCCATACAAAATGGGTGGCCTTAAGGCCACTACAAAATGGGTTTTTATGGGTCATTTTGTAGTGAGGCCACCTTGTGAAAAGGTTCAGGGCCCACTTCAACTTTGGCTGGCAAGGCATTTTGTAGACAAAAATGCCGGGGCCCATGGATGAAGATAGAAATTAGGTCGGTCGAAAAAGGGATTTTCCAAGGCCAGACACTTTGTAGAGAAATTTCTAGGCAACCCATTTTGTAGATTGAGGCAAGGCATTTTGTAGAGAAAAATGCCGGGGCCACTACTAAATGGGGGATTCTTTCTATATATTTGAATATATATATATACATATATATATATACATATATATTATATTCGATATATAAAAAATATATATATATATATATCTCCCTCTATTCTGCTCCACTGAGGTTCTCCTTGGGGGTGGTGGTCAACCCCCTGGCGGGAGGAGCCTGGTCCTTGGGGGGTGGCGGTTAACCCCCCCCGGTGCGGGAGGAGCCTGGTCCTTGGGGGGTGGAGGTTAACCCCCCCGGTAATGCCCCTTTTCGGCATTCATTTTGTAGTGAAGAAGCTTATCCAAGGCCAGGCACTTTGTAGAGAAATTTCCAGGCAACCCATTTTGTAGATTGAGGCGAGGCATTTTGTAGAGAAAAATACCGGGGCCACCACTAAATGGGTGGCTCCAACCCCACCTCCCGAATTCGCAGCGGGTTCAAAACACACCAATGTCGGACCTCTTTTGGAAGTTGAGATGTCGCATTTCCAAGTCAAAATGTACAAAACACACCAACCTCGGACCACTTTTGGAAGTTGCGATGTCGAAAAAGTGCACGCCGTTGTGGCGCGAAGCACATTTTCAAGTCAAAATGTACAAAACACACCATGCTCGGACCACTTTTGGAGGCTCAGATGTCGAAAAAGTGCACGCGGTTGTGGCGCGAAGCACATTTTGAAGTCAAAATGTTAAAAACACTAGGGTTTCGGACCACTTTTGGAGGTTCAGATGTCGCTTCGCTTCGCTTCGCTTCGCTTAACTACATTACACTACATTACACTACACTACATTACACTACACTACACTCCACTACACTCCACTCCACTCCACTACAACTACACAACTACATAACTACACTCCACTACACTAAATTACACTACATTACACTACACAACACTCCACTACACTCCACTACACTAAATTATCTAAATTACACTACACTACGCTACATCACACTACACAACACTCCACTACACTCCACTACACTAAATTACACTACACTACACTACATCACACTAGGCTACACTGCATTCCACTACACTCCACTACACTACACTGCATTACACTACACTACAGTACACTGCATGACACTGCACCACAGATGGACAGGTAGAGAGATAGACAGATAGATAGATAGATAGATAGATAGATAGATAGATAGATAGATAGATAGATAGATAGGTAATTAGATGAAAGAGAGAGAGAGAGATAGATAGATCGATAGATAGATAGATACATAGCTAGATAGGTAGGTAGGTAGGTAGATAGTCAGAGAAAGAGAGAGAGAGAGATCAATCATCTTTCGATCCATCAGTGGCTTCGCTCTGCCATCCTTGATTCACAACAACCAACTTCTCCTATAGGTTTCCTATTTTTGAAACTTCCGACACCGCCTTGTGCGGTACTACTGGTAAGAATAATCAGAATACATTAATATACTGTATTCATATTTTATCATATCAATCAATCATAGTATCATATGATCCTAACCATGTATGCGCTGGATCCAGTGGATATTGGAAAAGTTGTAGAGGTTCGGCTTTCCTGACAGTCAGTGGTCAAGTGAAATCATACGAGCTTGGACTTCGATTTTTGCATTTGGTGAGATGGTGGTCTTCTGACTTTACCCACGTAATTTCACAGTCTTGGTCAGCCAGTTGACACTTGTCTGGATCCACGGCGGCTTGCCCAGGAAATGGCGGAAGAAGCTCCTTTGCCACCTGCACTGCCCATGACTCTGCCGCCTCCTGCAAATGTCCCACCTGCGCCACCAGCTACTCCACTGACTCCAGGCCGAGAACAGGTGCCAGAGAAAGCAGCGCTGGCTGGGTTGAGCAGCACACAGTGGGAGGTGACAATGTTAGCAGCCCAGCATCTGGCCGGCCAAATGCTGCAGCAGATGATCACCAACCAGCAGGTTGCACAGCAAGCACAAGCAATGCAGCAGCATCAACAAATAGTGCAGCATCAACAAATGATGCAGCAGCATGCTGCGCAAAAACAGCAGCAAGCACAAGCCGAACTGCTCCAGCAGCAGTTGCTGGCAACACCGCTTCACATGACACATCACCAGCCACAGCACATGCCGCAGCAACATTGGCCACGGGGTTCTGTGGGACGGGTTGCATGCAATAAGCACCCCAAGCAGCCCTCACCAAGACCAGGGCAGCCACCCATCCACGCAGTAAAGCCGAAGCCACCTCCCATACCGCCCCCCATGACACCACCGCAAAGGCCTCACCCTCCTGGCCATATACCGAGGACCATTCCTGCAAGGAGACCTGTGAAGGTGCCACCGCCATCAAAGGGTGTGGGGAAGGGTAAGTTACTGGCTGATGAAATGGAGGATATTCCGATAGAATCAAGCGACGAGGAACGGCCGGACCCAACTGAGTGGTATGAGGATAAGAATTTTGGCCATGGCTGGGATTGGGGTTGGCAGCATGGGTGTCATCCTTCCACGGGCAGTTGGCAGAGAGAGAACTGGCGTTGGGATGAGGAATCAGGCGAATGCTGGGAGTGGAAAGCGGAGGATTGGACGTGGGATGATTGGGATGATTGGTACTGGAAGGGCTATGGCCACAAAGGATGTGGCAAGGATGAGAAAGGCCTGAATGATGGGGAAGTGAAGGGGAAGGCTGGCAAGGGCAAGGTCTATGATGTGCAGGAGTTGAAGGGAAAGGCCAGCAAGGGCAAGGCGCAGGATCTGTACGAGGTGAAGGGGAATCCCAGCAAGGGCAAGGCGCAGGATCTGGGCAAGGTAAAGGGAAAGTCCTCAAAGGCCAAGGTGGTGGAGCCGGAGCCGGAGGATGACGACGAGGACTTCGAGGTTGAGTCGGAGGAGGAGGAGAAAGGCCCCCCTGCGGGCATCAAGCGGATTCTCGGCATAATTTATGAAAAAGGTGGCAGACGGCAGGAAACCGGAGTTAGCAAAGGTCAGGAATAAGATCAAGCTAATATTAATCATTGCGTCTCCATCTATTTCTATTATCAATTTAGATAATATATATAGACTATAGATATAAAGGCATGAATCCTGGGTTGATGGACGATCTTGATTTTTGGTGCCATGAATCTTGGATTCCAAATGATACCAATAATTGCCAATAATCAAAAAATTAGATTGACAATGGTAGATGGATGCAGTGATATGAGGGCATTATAAGTACAGCCAGTAGACAGTAGATGATTAGACTGGTAGACTGAGACTAGATTAGCCGAGTAGCAGATGATGCAAACAGATGTGGTACCCAACGGCTTGTCAGGACCGTGGCAATGCATGGGTGACTGTTACAAGTCATGTCATGTCATGTATTTGTACAACTATGAATATGCATTGACATATGTGCATTTGTATCTATATCTGTATCTATGGTCATGCAGCATGCAATGTATTCCTGGTATTTGGATTCTGTAGTAAACGATTCAGTTTTCCCAGTTTGAACAAAGGTGCTACGCTGTGTGTGTGTGTGTAGTGTGTGTGTGTGGAACATCTGAACAGATGTAAAACTTCTAACCTTTTGTTTTCATCTTATTTATACTTATACATAGGTTTCATCTCACATACTCATGTTCATCTCAGGCCCAGGTTTCACCTTTTAGGTAGGCTTGTTAGGTTTAGGTTTTGAGGTTCTCTTCTTTATATATATATATACTTCTATATATCCAATGCAGGGGGGCAGTGAATGTCATTCCATCCACTGCCCAACGAAGACGGTGGTTTGAGATTGTGATATCGGGACTGATCATCCCGACGTACCTGCAATTTTCCATTTTGCTGTGTATGGCAACCGGCTAAGCCAAGAACCGGCATGTCGAACAAACAGTTTCTGCACTGTTGTCGCAATCTGTCCTTTAGGAACATTTCTTGGGCCTTGTCAGGTGATAGTGATTTGTTTGTGCACGTATGACGCACTCCCCACAAAATTCGGTAAGTCAGTTCTGAGCAAGTGTGTGACTCATGTCGGATTCGACAGGATGACATGAGCCCTTTGGGGAATGCTTTTCTAAGCAGGAAAGTCAGTTGTCGACCTGATCTCCGAATTTACAGTTTTCAACCTGGTAATTCGTTTAAGTAAAGTGAAGAAGCCAGCCTTTTTTCGGGGTTTCACCCTGTCGGTCGAGTGAGTGTTGAACAGCTGCCCGCTGTTGGTGGGATCGCCATTTTTGCACTCCTTCTAGGGTAGAACGCTGAAAGCCGCGACAACAATCTTTCTGTTATCTCAAGAGACTGACCGCAGCCCTTTTCGCATGACAATCAAGGCAACAGGACATGCTTGCAGGTTTGGTGATTCTTTCTTTTTATGGTTGTTGGTGACGTGTAGTCGTGCACGTAATTCAGGGGTTGACTGCTTAAGCTGTCCAGAGGGTTGACGTGACATCGGGCCATTGTGCCCTAACGAGGGAATTTGCATTTCACGTGTGGATGCGCCTTTTCATCAACTAGTTCTCCGTGGGTCCCCTATTTCATGTGTTTCTGCGTTCTCCTCTCTCCAGGTAGTTTGGTTTCTGTGCGTGCTTAGGTAGGCGTAGGTTTCGCTGTGTTAGGTTGGTTCAGGCGCTTCCGTCCTCCCCCCCCTCCGTTGGTCTTGTTCCGTGTCCGTCGGCCTCCGCTTTTCTTTTCCCTTGCCTTTCCAGGGTTTGCCCGTTTTGGGCTAGGTTTCATTGTGTTGGTGTTTTCTCCTTCCCTCTTCTTTTGCGTTCCCCTCTTCGCGTCCTGGTTAAGTAACTTTCATCTCATTTTCATTTTCACCTCATCTTCATTTCCTTTCCTATTCATTTTCATTTCACAGTCCGGGCCTTAAGCCCCGCGGCAGCAGGGCGTGTGTGTGGAACATCTGAACAGATGTAAAACTTCTAACCTTTTGTTTTCATCTTATTTATACTTATACATAGGTTTCATCTCATATACTCATGTTCATCTCAGGCCCAGGTTTCACCTTTTAGGTAGGCTTGTTAGGTTTAGGTTTTGAGGTTTCTCTTCTTTATATATATATATATATACTTCTATATATCCAATGCAGGGGGGCAGTGAATGTCATTCCATCCACTGCCCAACGAAGACGGTGGTTTGAGATGTGATATCGGGACTGATCATCCCGACGTACCTGCAATTTTCCATTTTGCTGTGTATGGCAACCGGCTAAGCCAAGAACCGGCATGTCGAACAAACAGTTTCTGCACTGTTGTCGCAATCTGTCCTTTAGGAACATTTCTTGGGCCTTGTCAGGTGATAGTGATTTGTTTGTGCACGTATGACGCACTCCCCACAAAATTCGGTAAGTCAGTTCTGAGCAAGTGTGTGTTGTCATCATCCGGTGTTTGCGAACCCATGGCGTATTATTATATATTTTCCTATCAAGCCTCAGTCTCGTTGTAGCTGGATGGGTGTCCAGTATCAGCAGTCGGACAGCCAGACTAGCTCAGACAGTTCACATCAAGTGATTCAGAGCATCAGAAAGTAGAAGTGGAATCAGTGATGTTAGTAGGTGGTTGATGCCTAGTACTACTGGTACTGTCAACCCAAGAGAGAAAGGCATCGTCACAGGTCCAGTAGGCATGGCAATGCAGGGGGTGTTTTCGTGAGTCTGCAGACCGACCAGCCTTGCATCTAAGGAAGGTGGCTTCCATGGACGCGTGGCTAAAGCCACAGGTGAAGGTGAAGGCCTCGTCCTCGTGGTCAAGGCGAACCACGCGGCATACAGCCGAGAATGGGAAATGGTGATTGAAATCAACTTTGAATGCTAGATTGAGCATGATCCAGAATGGTTCAGAATCACCAACAGAGGACCTAGGTCACAAGTCAAAGTGTTGTAACTTCTTGGCATTTGTAATTTACATTCGAAAGCTGGATGCCGGCAGGGAATTTACATTCGAAAGGTGGATGCCGGCAGGGAGAACACTTGTAGCCTGCCACTGCGATTTCTGAATGTTTTCCAATCCTTGGATGACTGGGCAAGCCAATCCTCTTGAACCTCCCAGTGGTTTCCAGCTTCATCAGTCACTCCAGTTCATGGCCTCAAGTTCCATGATTACAGGAAATTTCCTGATTCAACTGCGCTTGAGACACAACCAGCACACTATGATTCTGGTTCTGACCCATGAGATTTGCTCTTGAAGCTGGTCTTTTTGGAGGTCATTGCAATTTTTCATTTTCATTGCTCGGGAAATCCAAGTGACCGCCACGACTTCTCTTTTCCGTTATTTCAGCGTACCTTTGGCACAGACCAGACACGCTCCGGTGACAAAAGTTCCTCGGGTAGTGTGTCAGTGCGGTTATTGCACCATGGGCTACCCGTGAGTTTTTCAAGGTAAGTAAAGTCAGAGCCAGCAATGCAAGATAGTCAGGGGGCAAGCCTGGGCTTAAGTCTTGCAACTACCCTTTCCCCCAGATGCAAAGCATTCCAAATTCGGCAAGTTACTCCAATGTTATGTTATGTATTGATTTTTTTGCTTGGGAGCAAGGTTGGTGGGACACAATCATTTGGAAACACGCATTGACATTGGTCATCCTCTTTTTGTCAAGCCTGATGGGTCATGCAGTTCATGTCCTGGGACCAGGGACCTCACGACCCAGCTTGGTTTTGAGGACAAATTCCCTAGGTTTGCCCTTCAGAGTTGTTGCTGCAATTACCGTAGCAGCAACACTAGTTGCTTGGGGTATCAAGTGTTGCTTTGGACACCCACATTCATCTTCAATCATCAAACCAGGGGACGTTGTTCCTGTGATTTCATGTCATGACAGCACTTCTTTGTCCCCCAGTGCTCAGGTTAAAGATCTGGGGCGCTTGTGAAGGATCAGGCGCCTTTGCATACATCTGGCGACTTGGCATTCATGTTGGACGCCAGTCTTGTTGCGTAGGACATGCCAGTGCATGATGGTCAGTAATGTGAATCTGTGCCTGTGAGTCTATGAGCGTGGGAATTTGATACCTGGTCAACAGAGATTTGATACCGAATCTTTTCAGATCATATCATCATTATTCAGATTCACATCACAATCACAAGTGTAAAATAACTATAATTATAATTATGATCATAGCCTCATGGCATATCATTGATATCATATGTTCATATGTATGTTCTATATTGTCATCAATCAGTACGTTGTGCTTTTTTTACCTAACGCATATGAAACAATGTTGATAGTATGACACATCGAGGTGTCCAAGCAGTAAGCAGCCAGTTTTTTGTTTGTTGTATAGTTACGTGATGTCATATGATCAAATCATACGGTATGGTGATCTATGATCGATTCTGTAAGTAACTGCTGTAAATCATCTCTAGTCCTGGCTCGTGCATGCTGCCCCCTTGTGTTCTTTCGTGATCTAAGGAGGTACCTCTCGGAGGCCACTGGCATTGCTCACAGGCCGATGTTCTCCTCTGACTCGGAGGAGTGTTGCCGCGACTGGAACCTACGTCACTACGGATGTGACTTGGCTTTCGGCAAAGGCAACGGGAGACAAGGAAATTACTTTACTTCGAGTTATCCCCACCATGACATTTATCAATTTGTTACTGGCAAATCTTCAGGCATTCTATCTGACATATCTTCTGGCATTTTATCTGGCATATCTTCTGGCATTCCATCTGGCATATTTTCTGGCATTCTACTGGGCATATCTTCTGCAATATGTTCTGGCATATCTTCTGGCACTCTATCTGGCATATCTTCTGACATTCTATCTGGCATACCTTCTGGGATTCTATCTGGCATATCTTCTGGCACTTTATCTGGCATCTCTTCTGGCATTCTATCTGACATTCTACCTGGCATACCTTCTGGCATTCTATCTGGCATATCTTCTAACATTCTATCTGGCATATCTTCTGGCACTCTATCTGGCATAGCTCATGGCATTTTATCTGGCATATCTTCTGGCATTCTATCTGATATTCTATCTGGCATCTCTTCTGGCATTCTATCTGGCCGTGGTTGAGGTCCGGCAGGGATCACTGAGGTTGGATGGTCGTGGTTGAGGTCCGGCAGGGAACACTGGGCGTGGATGATCGTGGTTGAGGTCCGGCAGGGAACACTGGGCGTGGATGATCGTGGTTGAGGTCCGGCAGGGAACACTGGGCGTGGATGATCGTGGTTGAGGTCCGGCAGGAGGTGGGCGTGGATGATCGTGGTTGAGGTCCGGCAGGAGGAGAAGAGGAGGAGGAGAAGAGGAGGAGAAGAGGAGGAGGAGGAGCAGGCAACTGACATAAAATCTAACAACCCTCACCTGGCAGGTGGGGAAAAAAAGGTTTTGTTACCTGAAGAAGTGTGGCCTAAGTTGGTTCACTAATATGTTCTTCCATTTTGTGTGCAAAGCCTCAAGGTGTGATTCTTGAAAGTTGTGGCGGCAACCTGTACTCCTTCAAGTGTCATTGTTACCTCCTTCAGTGCAGCCACCAGCCAAGCCCAGGGGAGCACTTCTACGCCGACGTCAAGCATGACGAATGCGGAGGCTTTTGTTTCATCTGTGACATGGAGCACCCTGATGGTATCCATGAGGAGGAGTCCACGGATCCTTGGGTTAGTGGGAAACAGCGAATGATGTTTTCTTCGTTTTTTCTGTTTTTTGATCTGATCTATGATCAACAATAGGGCTAATAATTAGGCGAGGTCAATCGCAACGCACCACTGCCATCAGTTATCAAAGCGGTAGGCCGCCCCCCAGAAACTATCAGGTCATAAAACACACTTGGTCATGCGTACAGACTACGGACATGACATATGAATATGAATCATATGATACATATGAATCGTTTTTGCTGCGTACATATGTTTGACCGTGGGCTAGCTGGAGAAGCTTCCACAACTGCGTTCCTGCACATATGGTTCAATTTCAACACCATTGCCACTACATGGAAGCGAAAACAAATGGTGATTTTCATGTGTTTTTGTGTTCGGACTTTTCAACCATTTTCAACATTACGTTGAAATGTTGAAGTTTCGGAAGTGCTTACCGCCGCTCACTTGTACATACTTACATGAATGTTTGCTATTGGTGGTAGCTTCAGGAGCTTCAAGGAAATCCATGCCTACACACACAAAGTCAAATTGCAAACACCATTATGTGGAATCCAAAA